TTTTTTTTTTTTTTTTTTTTACTTCAATCTAAACATTTAATTACTCTTAAACACGATACACTTTCCTATCTTCTGTTCCTCCAAACAAAATTCAATCAACTGTTATCTCAAACGAGGGACGAGGTCATCTTCCAGTCTCAATTCAAAGACAATAAAAATAAATTTTTGTTTGTAAAATCACGAATGTTTTGTTCTTATATAACTACCATAAAAAAGAAATCAAAACATTAATGATAGCAACAATCATTCCTTACAAGATATTAGTAATATCAATGTTGCAATTATGAAATGTTTTATCTAAAAGAAATTCACTCTGGGAAAACCCGCATAACATCGCATTTTATACTTGTCTCACAAGATACTGAAACTTACTTTATACTCACTTACGATTGCTTATTCACGACAACAGATGATAATTGTTACATAATTATTTTGAAACAACATATGCTTAATAAAGATTGAAGATCGGAACTATCGCACAAAAAGAAATAGACAACTCCTAACAGATATAACAACTCAACACACGACTATGCGATTGTTTATCCGCAATCAAATAAATTTCGGATATCTGTTTATTATAAAAAGACTTAAATAAAGTGATAATTTCATGTGTCACAAACATGCGTATTAAATAATTAAAAGATATTGAATCTTAAAACTGTTTCCTTAAGAAATAAATATATCACATTTTTCCTGATCTTCAATTCTAAATAGTGTACTTAATATTTTCCATATTTTCACAGGTTGTATACATCGATTTAATTGTAGAAGATCCCTATGCTTTCCCAGACTACAGTTACATTTACACATATAAGAAAGAAAGCCTGGAAAAACGTTGAAACGAAGGTTCTACTTAAACAATTCAAAACGAAACCACAAAGACAGGATATTCGAAATACGCAATATCATTCATTGCAAGCACTCTACAACTTCTATTCAGCAACTCTCTACTGGCAAAAGTCGTAGAAACACAGCGATACTAAGTTTCACTTTAGAAACATTAGAAACTGAGCTATTTAATTCTATTTTTCACTTCAACTCGAAAACATTCCATCACATCTTAAAATCTTTTTTTTTTTCTATTCTCTACCACTTCCATACTCTTTGATCACACAAGTTCACATGAGTTGATGTAACACACGACAATCAGAATAGAGGTGGTGGTACCAATATGGAAGCAGGCACAGGTTGTTGATAAGGCACGTTATCCGGATGAAAACCAGAACCAAGCAATTCAATCAACCGCTGTCCCCGATAACCATAACGTCTCTGATAATCAAACGAAGCACGAGGTCCATCTTCCGGCCTGAATTCGAATACCATTTTCTTCCTAGTATCCGGAGAAGCTACCAGTCTCAGAAAAGCATCCACGCTATTCCTTGGCCATTCCCAAAATCTTCCACCAGACCATAACGATCGAAATATCGCCGACCATCTCGAGGGATCAAGCGGAAGTGTCCTGGCGACTCGAGTTGAGACAGTTCCATGGCACACGACTCCTATGCTCAACTATACAAGGATATGTAATAAAAGAATCAAGAGACAATTACCTAAGAAGCTGTTGGTCACTAACTTACCACGCAGATTAACGTTAGTGCGTAGTTTTTGCTCATTTTTTTTTATTTTTTTTTTTTTATCGAACCTTCAAGTAGGAAGACGGGGGAAGCAATATCCCGTTGTTCACGATTTCCACTTACCTTTATGTCTTTCGAGTGGGTGAAGATTTCGTGCATAGAATATATTACGAATTTATCGTGACAGAATTATCAATTGTCAAACGAAACGCAACGTGACTTTTCAAACGGTTCGCGCCTCGATTTTTCTTACTTTCACTGATTGCATTGCAACATATCTCCACGACATAGCAGTTGATTTCTTTTTCACGATGTCCTTCAGAGCAGAGTTTAGTTGTTATTCCGCGCCTGTCCCGATATCATCAACCACGCTACCGACGACGTGATCCTTCACAAGCACCTCGAAGAGGAACAACATGGATTTCCCTCGTAATTTGGTAGTTACAACTAGCACGGTTGTATTACTCGTGGTTCACTTTGACTTGCTTCTGAGTTTCGTGATTTCTTCATAAATTTGAAGCATTTATTAGCTAGAATGGACTGTGAAGATATACACAGCTATTTACAAGGGAAGCAATGAAAGAAATTATTGATATTATTTCATGTTTAAACATCATGTGTCACTTTCATTTGAGAAAAGGAATAAGCGACGTTTATGCATGACATGTTTGAAACTGATAGTGTAATTGATATGAATGAATTCACAGACAGATCAATTTTGTTCTGAAGAAGATGACACACTTGTGCAAATAAATTAAATTTTATACCCTCATTCATTGTTAATGCCTTCCCTTATTCTTAATATCAAGATATTTTAATATCAATAAAAAAAGATGTGAAAAGATAATAATGTAAAATAATAAAAACTGTGAACATTTATATCTATACACAAGTTTAAAACGTTCTTATAGAATAATAATATAACAACAAAGAACAATAAACTCACGAAATAATCATGAGGGAATACGCACTTATTATACACTATGCTATGTATATAAGTATGGAATTAAATTTCACCAATAAATTTCTGTATATTTTAGGTAACTTTGATTTTTCTTATCTTGCTGTCTAGCACTGATAGAAGCGTATCAGTCGCCGAAGGTATCAGCATTTTCTCATTCATTCACGATCTAATTCAGTATAACGTAGCGGGGATACCGCTCATCCATGAGGCAAGTATGACGTTCTGTGAAACAGCAGATCAACATTAGAAATAAACATTTTAAAAAAAAAAGCTAAATAAGAGTGGAAAGGTTACTTGCGTTAAGTGAATAATCGCGTTCGATAATTTTTGCGCAGCAAACGCAGTGGGATTTTAATCCAGAAGATGGGAAACAGAGAAGAATCAGGTACGAAAAGGAAAATGGTCGTCGTGGAGAAATCGCAATTGAGAAGATCGGCATGGGAATTGGAAACAAGGAGCCGTTAAGAAGAACTGCGTAGAATTGCTAATCTGTAAAAAAAAAGAAAATACATCAAAAATCAATGAAAAATAATTAATAGTAGCATATAAGTAGAACTGACCGTGCTGTGTGCAATTGTTGTCAAAAATCAAATGCATTTTGGTGAAAAGTAGGAATTTCTTCCTCCAAAGTGTCCGACTTGGTCGAGTAATATTTTATTTTGTATTTAATACTTCTAAATATATTATCAATACTTTTCATCAATATAATTCTTTCTCGTCATTCTCCAATTCTAAAACTATCGAGGTCATTTTTTTCTCAGAAAATTTCATCAGCTATCAATTATCAGTTGAGTAATCGACTTTCAATAAATTCCAAAGCAACGAATAAAAAAGTTCTATTTTCTGTCTTCAATTCATTATTCATGATAATTTTAAACAGGTGCACGTAAGTATGTGAAATATGCCCCGTACGACTTTCACTTAATACGAAGGAAGAACGAAGTGGGGACAGTACGAAGAACGGTAACGGATTTCAAAATAAGGCGAGCAAAAGGTGGAACCAAAGAGACGGGAACGGATCGATCGTACGAGCCATAGTATCGTTTTCCCTTTAAAAGATCTATGTTCCTTCCAATGAAGAAAGATACATTGGAATAAAAACACTCGCATATTCAGTGTTACGCTTTGTGACGAACTCTCTTCTCATTTTATGCATACTGAAAATACTACCTTGTAATCGCCAAGATGACGAGACACGTTTCCGTAAGTAAATGAATGCGAGATTAAAAACTTGAAATAAAAATAAGAATAAATGTACGAATTAAAAATAATGTACAAAGGAAATTGAAAAGGATTTAAGGATAGCATGATATCTCGATCAATCCATCAAAGTAAGTAGGTCTCAAAGTCACTTTTTGACCTGCTTATGGTGCACGTGTCAGATAAAAAACGATTTTTTCTTTTTCTTTTTCACACTATTTATTATGAAATATTTAATAAATCCATCTAAGATATATACGCTGAATCTAGGAGACTTGTTTTGTATATTTTCGTTATTTCCGACGCGCTAATACTAACTGCCCTACTTTCAGTGGACGACCATAATCTTTGCGACAATAATCGTCACTTGTCTACTTGGATTAATCGTTGAAACTGCGGCCACGATAGCTCAACCAAAGGCACCTAATTTTCAATACTTCGAACGGTAAGGAATTAATAAACAAACATAGACTTAGGTTTAGAAAAGGGAACGAATAACGCAACGATTTGCTACACAATAGTAAAAAGGATTACAATATTCTCATGCTAAATTACAATTGGTAATAACAAGTATATACTATCATCAAGGAAATAATCATTTAAAAGGATCGGATATATATATATATATGTATCTACCAATTTTTGTTTAAAAATAAATACAATTACAAGATTTTTACTAATTATTACCTGATTATTTATAGGCCTAAATACCGCTATCCATACTACGATGAAAATGGCAGAGGAAAATTACTCTATGGCTATGGAGGACCAGATCTGTATCAATATAAAACTTACAGTGCCCTCGAGGGAATTCATTAAGATGAAGAGTACTAAATTACGCTATAAAAACAATTAATTGATAATCATCGGATGAATTATGGTTATTACACGTACATAGGGTGATCGTTTGTGAAATGATCATAGTATATACACGATTCTGCTTCCGATTACAAGAAAATGATCATACTTTATATTATGTTGTCATAATAATAATATAATACATAAAACATTCGACACTTTGCATTATACTTGCATCTTTTCTTGTTGTCAGAAACATATCGAGTTACGATAGAAAATTAAGGAACATTACAAGATCATTTATTCTTCCAATTATATTCTTCCAATTATATTTTTAAATGCAATCGATCGATATGCTTAATTACGTTATAAACACATGCTTCTTCGCCACGAATTATTTTTATTATTCGATAACACGGTCTATTTCTCGAAATAGTTAACGAAAATAGAAATGAGTGAATGTATTTGTCTTAAAAGACAAATTATTTCGTTATTAATATGAATGAAAAAATGCATTAGAATATTGTGATTAATCGATGTAGAAATTGCTACAAATACAATTGCGAACAGTATCATTAAAATCGATCGTCTACGAAAAATTTGTGGAATGTGCATAGTATTTCTAAAATCTATGACGTGTCCGATATAATCATCACTGTGAAGACGTGAAGAAGTGAAATGACTAAATTCTAATGCCTAGAAATCGGATATATCGTACATCAGAAAGTCAGAAAAATTTGTAAAAACGCAGTCATTTAAAATCTTAATTAAATGCGCTTAGTTAGACGCAAAAAATGTTTGTTTCGTGACAAGTGCACATACAAGTTTACAAATGTGCAAGCAGAGTCGAGTATAGCGAGATAATGTTGATAAACGAATGACTACTATCCGTACGATGTGTATTGGGTATTTTATTCCAAATGATCTTTGTCCGCCTTATCTTCGGCAGACTGTAACTGTCATACAAAATCCATTTCGGACTTATTGTAATATCGTGTACCTGATCGTAATCTATACAGCTGCCTCTCTATTAATTTCTTTATCTCGCTAATTATGAAAACGCTTGATGTAATTCCGACGAGAACCAAGATATCTGTTAAAGCAGAAACAAATATATCCTTATTTAAAAATATTAAAAGTAAAAACATTATGAAAGCATCGTTCAAACTACGTACCTACTGCCGAAAGAGCTTCAGTTTGGAAAACTCGTTGTAATGGCGGAAAATAGATCACTAACATCTGTCCTATTACTGATAATGTTACGGCTACCAGAAACATTTTGTTACTCAAGAAACCAATAGTAAATATTGATTTGGTCTGAAATATTTATGTTTAATTCGTAGAAAATACTGCAATACTTTTTATACAGTTTTATTATTATTCTTACCTGCGATCTACAACTTAGAGCATTAAACATATCAAAGAAAACGAAACATGTAAATGTCATGGTTGTATCCCTTGCAGTATTGCCGTCAGTGGTCATCTAATAAAAAGAAAACACAAGAGCAATTATAAAATTTATGTAAAACGAATAACTTTTATAATAAACTTTTCATACCTCTTTATTGTAAACCCATAAAGTGCCAATAATAATGATAGTAGCTGACAATAGTACATTAATGATAAGATGTCGCGTAATCATTGGTTCTTTTGTGTTCCGCGGTTTTTGTTTTAAGACATCCTTATCAACTGGTTCGACACCAAGACTAAAACCAATAATTAAATATATAAATATCATAGTATAATCCACTTTTTCAATTTCTACATTACCTTTGAGCAGGTGGACCATCCATAATAATATTAATCCAAAGAATTTGCATCGCATTTAACGGATTTGGTATACCCATCAAAGTAGCAAGTGCAATTAGAGATAGAGCGGCTATACTAGTACTTAGTTGAAATCTTACAAAATTTCGTATATTATGAAAAATTCCTTTCCCTTCTTCAATTGCAGCACTAAAAGATATGTATAATTAAAGAATAATGAATATAAAAAATACTGAATATTAAAGAAGAAACTAATATGTACATGATAGTTTCAAAATCGTCATCCACTAAAATCATGTCCGCAGCTTCTTTACAAACGTCAGTACCATTTTTACCCATGGCTATGCCTATATCTGCCTTTTTCAAAGCAACTCCATCATTCACACCATCACCTGTCATGCCTACTATGTTTCCTTCTCTTTGCAAGGCTTTTACGATACATAATTTGTGCTTAGGCGTGACCCGATAAAATACACTAACGTTACTAATACATTGCTCTAACTGGTGTTCGGACATTAAATCAATTTCATCTCCAGAAATTAACCGTGAATGAAGTACATCTAATCCAATCATACTTGCTAAAATAAAAAGATAATTATAATGCACTATTTTTGCAGTATGTTCACAAATTAAAAAAAATTTAATGAATCCATATCATACCTATTGCAGATGCAGTTTCTTTAGCATCGCCTGTAACCATTTTAACTTTAACACCGCTATTTATAAGAGTTGTTATAGATTCACGAACATGTGGTCGTGGAGGATCACATATACCAACGAGACCAACATACATTAAATCTTGCAACGACGTGCCACGCGCCAATCCAATTACTGTAAATATATTTAAAAATGTTAAGAAAGAAAGTTAAAGTTATCATTGAAGTCGGTTAAAATATACCTCTTAATCCTTGTTGGCCAATATCATAAGCTTCTGTTAAAAATTCTTCATCTTTCTTTTGATTTAGAAAATAAACTTGATCATTGATAAAGTATTTGGTACATAATGGTAAAATCTTATCCAGAGCACCTTTCACAAAATATATTTCTTGCTTATTTTCTCCGTATTTTGGAGTACATTTTACAGCCATCATTTTTTGTTCAGATGAAAATGGATATTCTTGTAATCGTAGATACCTATCAGCAACTCCATACATCCCATATTTCATTGCCACCGCTATCAACGCACCTTCTGTTGGTTGACCAAGCAAAGTATCATTCTGTATTATCGCATTATTACAAACACATCCTACTTCCAACATGTTGCTGATAGCAGTGCGTGCAAGGTCCATGTTATCACATTTTCGAATTCGTACTTCTCCTTTATCATTATAACCAGCACCGGTAACATCAGCTATATATCCTTCTGATGTCACCAAAATCGTTGCAGTCATTTCATTCTTTGTAATAGTACCAGTTTTATCAGAACATATCACATTTACACAACCTATGCATTTAACAATGTAATAGCTTTGATAAACATTATATAACCATAATACATGTATACTTACCCAGTGTTTCCACTGTTGGTAATTTCTTCACAATGGCTTTTCTTTTAGCCATCCTCATAACACCCAATGCCAAAGTTACAGTTACAACAATAGGTAAACCTTCTGGTATAGCTGCTACTGCTAAACTTACGCTGATGGTAAACATTTCAAGTATAGCTTTGCCTTGGATCCAGCCAAGAAGCATAATAATGCCAATAATGCAAAATGAATAAAAGGATAATTGAGTACCCAAAATATCCATACTTCTTTGAAGTGGTGTTTTTGGAGCTTCTTCAGCCTGCATCATTGAGAAAACTTCTCCAAATTCACTTTTTTCTCCTGTATTCACTACTATTCCCTATAGAATATTTCATATATATTTGATAAATAATTGCTATATTACGAACTCATTGAAATATATTTGTAATAGAGTACTTACTTTTCCATTGCCACAACGGACTAACGTACCCATAAATGCAATATTTCTTTTTGTTGTCAATCCATTAGTTTTAAGCAATGGAGCTGTTGATTTTTGTGCTGGTTCAGTTTCTCCAGTAAAACTGCTCTCATCAATTGCTAAATCTATTGCTTCAAATATTCTGATATCCGCAGGTACTCTATCACCAATATTTAAGTAAACTACATCGCCAGGAACTAAATTGCGAGCAAGAAATGTTTCTACACAACCTTCTCTTAAGCTGTAAAAAGATATTAAAAGAATTATTTTAATATTAAAATTTTCTAACATCGAAATGTTGTATATATAATATTAAATAGGTCTAACTTCCATCCTTTGCCTATAATTATGCATCTTTAAAATTGGACATTCTAAATAAAGGGAAGGGAATTTCACCTTATTGATCTATTGATTGGAATTGGATATTATATCCTCTGTTTTAAGAAAGCAAAGTAATACTCCATAAAAAGGGCTAATATATCCTCCAAAGACCATATTTCTAAAGAAAATGTTAATTCAAATAAATGTTACCAACAGTCTTTACTTTTATTACACTTAATAATTCTATATAATTTTTATTAAATAAATATTTAATAAATAGTATAAATTTTCTTACCAGTGACAAGTTGGTGGCACCAGTTTGTTTAATTCTTCTAAGGATTTTTCAGAACGATATTCTTGTACAAATGCAACTGTTACTACTATTATGATAGCCTACAAATATATATATTTCAGTAATATAAACGTTAGTATAGTATAAAATATAATTTAAAAATATGGTAATTATATTAAACTTACCACTGTAATACTGACTGCATCATCAAATTGTCTCATACATACACTAACAAAGGCAGAACCAAGAAGTAACAAAATTAAAGGATTTTTAAACTGCAAAAGAAAAGAATGCACAACTTTATATTTCATTATTTGCATTAATTTTATAATTAAATATCGTTAACTTTATAATTAAATATCATCTAATGAATCCTTCAAGTACCTGTTCCAGATATTTCTTCCATGTTGGTTCTTCCTCCTTAACACTGAATTCATTAAATCCAACTAATTGTCTTCGATGATCTGCTTCTTGCCACCAAAGACCTGTTCTTATATCAACATGTAATCTGGCTGCTACTTCTTCAGCACCAAGGCTGGCTGCTTCAGCTGTTGTTAACCACATTTCTAATGTTTGATCTTTACCCTTAACAAATACAAATTAAATATTTTTTATTCAATATTCTCCAAGTGGTTGCTCATTTATGGTATATTTCAATTTTCTAACCTTTATCACAAACTTTCACAAAACAATAAATTTAGTATAATTAAATTCATTATTTTTCTAGTAAAAATTTCAATCTTTTTGCTCTTAAGATATTTACTGCTTTGATATACATGTTTACGATATTGATGATACATTATTAAGAATTTTTCACATTATTTTTATATATAAATATATATATAATTTATATATAAATATTATATATTTTTTACAATATACAAATATTATAAAATATTTTTATGCAAAAAATATAAACATCAATAACATTTCATTTATAATGAGACAATAATTACAATTATTCTATTAGCACTTCAAAAATGTAAAGTAAATCATTAATTAATGTCCAACATCTAGCATGACACGTGTATTCTATAGTTTGTGTTATAGAACGTATCAATCCAATGAAGAAATAAACACACTATAATCAAAATTGAAAAATATTTGTACAGTAAGCATAAGAATAACTATTCATATTTAACGATAAATATTTTTTCAAAAATAATTTTATCTTGCAGGTTCATCGCAGATTCTAACCTTGAAAAAATGCACAAATGCATTAATAAAAACTATTGCTTCATTTTAAATATAATATAAAGACATTAATAAAAGATTAACTTTATCAAAATAGTTACAAATTTACTAAATACTGTAAATTCCTGTACTTATTATATATATATATTGGTTTTACAAGTGTTTTATCTATAGACGTAATTAATATATGTGTATAAGTGTAATTGCGATAATTTCTTTTCAAATTAATATTAAATTAATACCTTCAAATTAAAATTAAATTAATACCTAATTTATTTTACATAATTGTATTTGAAAGTACTGTATTACGCAGTTCACGCCTGAAATAATGTTCCAGTACTTTCAACTATAGGAACTTCTGTATTCGTGGATCTCAAAAGAAGGGATTATTTTTCTAGGAATTACAATCAAATATATACATATATTATTTATTACATTTACTTATTGATTTTAGACATTGAGTTTGTAAAAATAACAGAATTTCAACTCTTTCTTTTTAAATGAATTTCATGCAACATTAACTTTGAAATATCGTATAAATTGTAAATATTCGATATTCCATTCTACCAATTATCGATCCATTTTCCATAGAATGCGCAAGGCCACATTGTTACACTTATTACCTTGGGTCAACATGTTTAGAACATTTGCTACCTACACTATCATTTAAAACTTCTGGAAATGTCGTATCATGCCTGACATTAGAAAATTGCCACTTATTATTAATACACCTATTATACTCTAATAGCTAAGTAATCTTCTATCTGTTAGGTAATTCACTGAAGCAATTACTATCACATACAATACAATCGTTTTCCATGAATTCTTTAAAAAAGCACAAAAATCAAATGTTTTTTTTTTTAAAAACAAAGATATTAACAACAAGATGAAAAAAATTTACTTGTACATAAATAAAATCACAGGTAACAATAGAGTCTCCAGCAGGTGCTGTTGGCAGGGTAAGTATTCGATCGATACCGAAACATTTGAAGATACGTACTATGATTGTAATGAATTTTTCATGCTGCATATTTCAAATGTGTTTATTCAATTTATTCTAAGCTTACAATTAATTTTAATTTTTTTTCTACGCTTCCTACGAAATATAATATAATATAAAGAATATAACTTAAGACTATTCTTTGTTAATAAAGAAAAAATGATACTAGACCAATTATTCTTTATTACAAAATGAAATATCCTATGTACGTGTAAACTTAACTATAGTAAAATGAAAAAAAATAAAAATTAGATAAATAAGAAATTGTATAAAGATATTTAAAAATACTGCAAATTCTATAGTGTAATATCGTAATTTAACATAAATCTTACCTCTTTCATCGGCACATTTTCATTACGTTCCTTCTCGGCAGCTGTGGCGGCAGCATCAAGTTCATTATCTTCGAAAAGTTTTTCGTACTTTTTACTTGCTGTGTCTTTCATCTCTTCTAATTCACGTTTTATTTTTCTTCTCTTTTTTTAATTGATCAATTGTCGATTATACGTATATACCACGACGATTTTATTTATCACTTATTTCAAAATGGGGAACAGAATTTTGCGATGTTTCTTCAATAAAATGCGTTATTATCCGTCAGTCCAGTGTTATAGTTTCAAAAAAAAAGAAATACACAGCTCATGGTCTGAATGAATTCCTGTCAAAATGTGTTAGCATTGAATATATACCGACCACAATGTATAGTATATACAGGGTGCGACCGAAAGCTAAGCAAGTGATTCTTCATAAAAGAAAAATAGTGAAATGAAACTTTTTCGTTCAAACTTAGTTTTTAAAATTGTGTTTGAAAATTTATCAAGCATAGTTGAACTTGACTAATTTCAAACAAAACAGGAATGAATCATCGACGAAAAGCCTACGTCAAAAGTTCTACGTCAGAAGATAAGTTAAAAATATGGAATTTTTTCGCTTGTTTTTAAGAAAATTAAATTTGAATATTTACCAAGTATGTATATGTGTAACAAATCAAGTACACACTAAATATACTCTTACTTTACTTTCTTAAAAATGATGCTTTAAACGCAAAAATTTTGTTTTACATTTTTTATTTGTTTTCGCATATATTGTTAGAATAACTAGAATAATATCCTATTGATTGCTCACTTGACTCACTCAGTAATCAAGCAAATTCACATGTACTGAACAAATTTTCAAATTTTATTTTTTTTTAAATTAAGTTTGGAACAAAAATATTTTATTCTATATTTTTTTCTTATCTTTTTATGAGGAATCACTTCGTGCCTGTTTGTAACAATTTTCGAAACTATTCTGTATACTGTTGGTTTATTATAAGATGAGTATTTAAAATTGAGTCGCAAAATCTAAAAAATCAATTTCAAACAGAGGCTTTTAAATAAAAAATTACTGATTATTTAATCATTTAGCAATTAAAATAATTTTTTTTGGAGAAATGCTTCAATAAAATATTTTTCATATGTATGATTTAATATTTAAAAAGGGATGAAATCGTACTATTATCAGTCACGTAAAGGTTAAAGGAATGAATCTCTAAAGAACTTGACAGCGGCAAAAGAGATAATAATAATTTTAGTAGATTTACTAGAATATACATATGTATTAGCTTACTAAAAAATTTAAAAAATTCATTTCAGCACTTGATAGTAGTTTGAATTATATTTTGCGGAGATTGAAAAATATTGTTTTCCTTAAATGTTTCGTGAAACCGTTAATGTTTATAATATCTATAAATATTTAATTGGATCAGTCATACAATACAAATTACTTATTTCGTTTCTGATAAAACAATTATTATTTTATTATAATAATTATATTAAAATATTCTTTTCAGACAAACTTAATGTATCTGAAAGAAAAAACCGGTAAAGGCATTTAGCCAAAGAGTAGTTGCAGCTGCTACTAACCTACTTTTAAATTAAACAAAAAGGTAGCTTTATCGATTTTTTGAAGAAATATGTACAGATAGTAAGTATCCTGATGATTATCTTAAATATCGTTCGTCTAGATCGATTCAAATTATAATATACTTTAAAATAATTCTTATTAAAACAAATTACATACATATATTTACATACATTATAGCCATCTACTACTTTACAAAGAAAAATGATGTTAATTTCGATGAGATATACCATCACAGAAAGAAATAAACAATAAAAGCAACAAAAATTTCTATTTAATAAACGATAATAAAAATCAGATGAAAAACAATCTATATACTACGTACGATTGTTATCTATTATTGAGATAAATTGGTAATTGATCGAAAACACAATTGCATTGTTTGGTACCAACGATGTAATGCACTCGAGCAATTTATAATACACAGGCATATAGATACGCGGTATTCATTACTACAAATCGATAGCGAACGTTTCTTCGATAAATGTATTCAGACTCACACCAATCTTTACATATTTCAAAATATGGATAAAAAAATAAACGCACATTCGGACGGAATTGTTGAAAAAAATATCCTACCCTTAAGGATCGCGAAACCCTTTTAATATCCGAGGCACGTCGAAGGATCTAGTCTCGATGTGCTGGTAGGTGAAACGTGCACAATAAAATTGCTCACAAATCGCAAACTCCGTGTGATTTATATTATTCCTGTGGCTTCATTTAGGCAAGAATTAAATGGCTTTGCTGCGACAAATTCAATGTATGCACTCATACAAAAAAAAAAAAAAACGTTACGAATACGATGTTCGGTTGACGTGTAACTACTGACAAGTAGCTGGCGATGTAGCGAGCAGCGTCGTTTGTAGTCCTGCTAGTCTGGTACTGAGCTGAGAAAGCAGCTATGTATATGAATGTGCATGTGTACCGTAGTCGTATGTATATATAGTATGTGTGGTAGAAGTAGAGCAACTGTGTCGATTCAGCGTACGACGACCTTAAGCTTCTGCACTTCCAAAT